AAGTCATAACTTTGTTCAAATGTATTGTCTTGAAACACTGGGTGTATGTTTTGCTTTTTTGAACATGTCGTTATGACTTTCGCAATTGCAAAAAGACCATAACTTTGTTCAAATGTACTGTCTTAAAGTGTCAATGAGGTTTGCTCATTGTGCGTATTCTCTTTGGATACGTCGCTTTCCAGTGTCTTGCTCTGTAATTGCAGGTGATCTCGTATCGCGGGTGAAGTCCTTCATGCGGCGACAAGCCCACTTTCGAAGTTAAACTCTACTCTGGTGAGTTTACGCTACCGGCGAAACCAGGGCGACGTCGAGCTCACCGAGATGGTGAAACTCGGCCCCTGACGAATTCGAATTGCTGGTAAGGTGAAACTCAATTGGTTGACGAGTTTGTTTGTCGGCGAGACTTGATCGCAGCGAGTTTTGCTTGGAAGCTAAACTCAATTGTTGGCGAATTCTAGTAGAGGACTGAACTCATTTGCTGGCGAGTTTCGCTTAGAAGCGGAACTCAACGGCTGGCGAGTTTATGTTGCGGGCGAAACCCGTATAGTGTTGGACTTGTGTTGGAAACCCGACTCGATTCGCCTGGCGAGTTTGATCTGTAGGCGAAGTTTGAGCAGTAGCGAATTCGTCCGAAAATTGGAGATCCAACCGCGGGCGAAAACTCCTGTCACGTGTCGGTCAGCGGGCCCAAGTGCTTGCCAGCCAAGACTTTGCAGGCGCATTAATGCTCATTAATGGTGAAGCGACCGATCGCTTCGCCTCTCGTGCCCAATCCGATATGTCGGTTTGGGGTTTCGAGAGCAGCCTTAAAGGCGCTGAGTTCGAAGCGTCGCAGGGCGTTCTGACCGTTTGATCGCTCGGGGTGCCGAATCTCAGCCGTTGGGTTTCTTATAATATATCCGTATTCGTCTCTCTCCAGCAGAATCCTTACTGCTTCAAGAGAAATCCGCCAGAAAGAGCTTTCCCAAGAACTTCTCCCTCTATGGCTTCTTCTTCCGATCATAGTGATGCTGAGGGAGTCCCCCTACCATCACGCGCTTCCTCTTGTGGAAGCGGCCTTGGAGGCGGTCCGTCGTGCTGGCGACGCCTCGCTCACACGGCGATGTGAGCGAGAGCTTGAGCGGGTGGCGGGGTGGACGTACCGCCTCGAGGAGCTGTTTTACGAGGACTCCTCCGACACGTCCCCGCCCTCCTCTCTGTGCTTTCTGCTCGAGCGCGAAGAACGAGCGAAGCGGATCCAGGCGAAGGAAGCGGAACTCCGACGTCTGCAGCAGCGGCAACAAGCGGTGCTGGACCGGATGGACGCCTACCTAGACCGGGCTTTCTTCGAGGATGCCGGTTCCCTCCGCGGCGAGGCGAAGCTGGTGGAGCGCGGGCACGAGGCAAGGAGGCTCGGCGAGGTCGCCGCGAGAGTGGACCAGGAGCTCCGACTCCTTCATCAAGAGGAAGAAGCCAGCCAGGCGAATTTGGCCAAGCAGCAGCAAAAGAAGAAGGAGGAGGCGAGGATCCGACGTGCGGCCGAGCGTGCGAAGCTCAAAGCCAAGATCGGCTCGTTCAGCCTGCTGAAGTTCTTGTAGTCCACATGCCGCCTATGTCTTCTTTGCTTTTGTTCATTGTGTTAGCTTAATTGACATCTTAGGCATCCTAGTCAAACTGCAAACTTATGTAAATTATGGCCCGTAGTGGCCCTTTTGCTTGTTTTGGCTTTGTCTTGCACAATTTTCTGTCTTTATCTGTGCTATTTGGCGTAATTGAACTCGGCGAGCTTTAGACTATGGATTTAGTCGTTTTAGGCTCTTGCTCTGCCCTCTGTTGTTCACAGTGTGGGATCGGATTAACTCCGCTCTTCGCGATGTAACTCCAATGGGGTCAAGAGAGCAACACTTGGCTCGTAGCAAAGAACAAATGTTTGCTTCTGCGGCCAACTGAAGAACCCAACTTCGACTCGCCTTTCGGTGAGTTGTTGTTTGGGGTACTGTTCGACGATTGTCGTCACGTGGGAATGAGACAATTGATTGTGGTAAAAGTCATCGCCTGGTAGACTCTACCCATCAGTTATCCTAAAGCAATGTTAGGACATCCGGAACAGGTCAGATAGTTCAGGGACGTAGGAGTGTGACTATTGACAGAAGTAATGGCACGTCGCATGGTAGGCCATTATTCAGGCTATGCTATTCGTAAGAATAACGGTGCCAATCATCAGAGGTGATCATTAACTTGATGAGGTTTTGTCGCGATTGGAGCGACCGTGGGAGGGGGGCCTACCATTCCTCAGAATAGGAGTGGTAAGCGGATTTTGTCAGAGGTTTAATGTTAACGTGACAGGGGATGTTATTCGTAAGAATAACGGTGCCAATCATCAGAGGTGATCATTAACTTGATGAGATCTTGTCGCGATTGGAGCGACCGTGGGGGGAGGCTACCATTTCTCAGAATAAGAGTGGTAAGCGGATTTTGTCAGAGGTTTGATGTTAACTTGACGGGGAATGTCGTGATTGGAACGACTTTGAGGACCCACCATCCTTTAGAAGAGGATTGGTAAGTTGATTTTGTCAGAGGTTTGATGTTAACATGACAGAGGATGTCGTGATTGGAACGACTTTGAGGACCCACCATCCTTTAGAAGAGGATTGGTAAGTTGATTTTGTCAGAGGTTTAATGTTAACGTGACAGGGAAGGTCGTGATTGGAACGACTTTAATGGATCTGCCATCCCATTAGAGAAGATAGGCGAATTGAGTGGATTTGTCGTGATATGAACGACTTTAGTGGATCCGCCATCTCATTGGAGGAGATAGGCGAATTGAATCCCACAAGAGGCTTTCGCCAGAGCGGGCAAAGTAGGAACAGTTTAGCCTCGTGTACCAGTTGGAGGTTTTGAGGGCCAGTTTAGACTCATGCACTCTTGGGAGTTTGTGAAGGAGCACTATGGGTAGTACTTCTTCAGGTACTTGCCGTTGATGGGCATCATGATCTTATCACCGTTCGGTTTGACGAGGCGATAGGCACCGTTTGAGTAGACCGTCTCTACCACGAATGGCCCTTCCCATTTGGACTGGAATTTCCCCTTCTTCTTGGAAGTAAGGATCATTGGTCGACGGACGGAGAGCACGAGCTCTCCCTCTTTGAAGGCTCGGCGCTTGACTTTCTTGTCGAAGCTCCCGGCCATCCGAGCTTGGTAAAACTCAATCTTGGCCATCCGAGCTTGGTAAAACTCAATGTGCTGCTGAGCTTCCAGTCGCTTGTCGTCCAGTGCTTCGAGCTCTGCGAGTCGAAGTTGGTGATTTTCCTCAGTCGTCATCCCTGTCGCTAGGGCGACGCGCAGGGATGGAATCTGAATTTCTAATGGCAATACAGCTTCACAGCCGTATACCAACGAGTAAGGCGTGGTGCCAGTCGGTGTACGAACCGTCGTGCGATATGCCCACAGGCTCTCGCCTAGCTTTTCATTCCAGTCGCGCTTGCTAGTGGAAGTCAACTTGGTCAGGATCTTGATGATCGTCTTGTTGAAAGCTTCGGCCAGACCATTCGCTGAAGGGTTGTAGGCCGTGGACGAGAGGTTCTGTATTCGAAATTTGTCACAGAACCTGTTGAAGGCATGGCTAACGAATTGCGTGCCA